GCTATAGCACCCTCAGCCCTTTTGTGTCCATTGTTCCTCGTCAGGGCTTGGGGTTTGCCGTGGGGATGAAAGTGGGTGGAGGGCGGCTGGGGGGGCGATTGTTGGTTGAGTGCTGCTGTGCCATCGCTGGGTCTGTGCATCTTCAGCACAGATGAAAGCCTGCACTGTTCCCTCTCTCTCTCTCTCTCTGTCTCTCTCTCTCTCTCTCTAATGCTCACATGCCTTTGAAAACTTTTTTACTTTTTTTTTCATTTAATCCTTTTCTACTTCTTTTTTAAAATTTCTTTAACAGTAACTTTAACCTGACTATCTATATGCTTGTAAAAAGGAGGCACAAAGCTCGCTCTGGATGCTGCCTCTGTTATATGCATTTTGAATCTGCATACTGTGTATATATTTCTATGTATTGTTTCCTTTTCACCACTGGGTGTTGAAAAAATGAAAAAATATGAAAAAAAATGTTGCAAATATGTGTAAGTACAATGATCGGAAAGGTTAATGCATTGAAATAAACGTATAAAGAAAAAAAAGATTAAATAAAAAGAGGAAGACATGCCTCTCCATCGCTGGAAGGCTGCGGAATAAAGCGTCTGAATGCCAAACTCAAACATTTAATGAAATCCACAGTGAGAGAAATGATGCTTTCAGTGAAGCCAGGTGATGGTATGCACCAAGAGATGTAAAATCGCGCATTTGCTGGGCAGCGGCCGTGTGCGTCGATAGATGTGGCGCCCGGGTGTATTTGAAATGAGGTCACCTTCTCCCTCAGCTCCAAACTAACGTGGGTGTCTGAGTGCTGTCTGCCTTTTTCCCACATGGAGAAACTGTCACCATGCACCACTTGACCTTTTCAGAGCCTGGGAGATAACGCTCCTTCAGGCTAAATCAATTAGAACCAGGCGAACACAATATCAAATGAAAAGTGAGTAAAAGTCCTTGCACGGGCGTCAATAGATGCAGATTCAAAGGCGTCTCGGTCCGTGTCACTGAGCCTCCGCTGATAATCACATCAGGAGAGCTAATGGAGTGTCTTTGGACAGCTTTGTTGTGATGCTTTTCACAGCACAGAGTACAGAGACTATTGCGCTCTCCCGCTTCACTCATTCATAAAGTGTGTGAGGATCAGAAATCAATTAGTGAGGTCTCAGGAAGTAGGGCAGTGCTGTTTACGAGTCTAACCTCTACCACACTCATTGTTCAAATACAACAAGTCAAAGCATCTTAACACACGGGACTCACATCATACTGGGCCCAAAACAAATATCATGAAATATTCAAATGAAAACATGTTGAACTACAGTATTCTCTCTCTCTTTCTAATTCTACTCTGCTGCTCTTTGCACTTAATCTCCAGAGTGCAATTTCTTTATTGTTGGGATTGTTCTTGTTTTTTTTCTTTTATCTCAAGAAATTTGAGTCATAGCATAAAGGAAACCACCTGCAGCAGCTACAGACAAAATCATTCAGCAGGAGTGTTATGCAAGCCAAAATGCTTTGGGGGGCCCCAAGTCAGACTGGGGTCAAGGGGGGTCCTTGTTGGAACAAATGGGAGGAGTGATGACATTTTCTGTGGTTTGAAACTTATGAAGTCAAGTAAAAAAGGGTATTATTTCTTTATCAGTTTGAGAGTCTGAAGGAAACCTGATTAGACGTACTACATGTAGAATTTTATTACAATATTTAAACTAAAGTATCTAAATTAAATTAAAAACGACATCACGTGATTCCCCGCCAGCCTCGACGTCACCTTTTGTTATTGTTTTGATTGAGAGCCCCCCTGGCGGCGGATTTTTACATACTGTGTGTTAAAGAAGGAAAACTATGAAATACTAAGAATACTTTGGTGACTCTGTCTGACCTGCCTGATGAACATCTCCATCTCATCCTCTCTGATACTGCAGGTCTGAAATGATCATACAGAACGGGGAGCGCTCTGGTGTCAACAAATAAAGAAGAACATTTAAATATGCTGTCCTTTTAGGAAAGCAGAACTTCTTGATCTCACTACAATGCTGATTCTCTTGGAAAGATGTGAAAGAAAGACGACTTCCTTTGGATGGTAATCTTTTAAACACAGTTGTTATTAGGATGGGTACACATGAGGTATTTACAGTGTATCTAACTATAAACTACACTGTAATACAACCACATTGAAACATTATAAACTTTGTTTTACTACTGTTGTTTTTCAGCCTTTAGGTTTTGTTAATGAAGCTAAACGTATTGGCTTTTGCTTTAATTATATATTAATTAACATCATGTAAATAGCAAGATATAGCTCCAATGAAAGCCACTGTTTCAAGGCTATTTCCGATATAACCGCCATAGACTGTGCACAGACACCTCTGTCATTAATAAAACAGACTCATCACATACTTGTCCCAGGGAAAGAGAGGAAGAAATACTAAGGATGGGTTTCCAACCGAGGGAGGACTTGTGTTTCCTCCCACTTGCAGAGAAAACGTTCACTTCATTAGCTTTCTTCAGTTAATTCATCGATTTCTATCTCTTTGCTGAACCTTCCCTGTCCATGCATGCATGTGCTCTCGATGGGAAACTCCACTGCTCCCTCCTGACGTTCATTCTCTGAATGTCTGCACGGAAATGTGAGGCAATTCATACAGCAGGCGCGGAGACTCCATGAAAATATCTTTGACCAATTAAAATTGCATTCCATTCATTGCAAGCCAAAGTCTCTCTGCAGAAGAAAAATCCCTGATATGCAATACTTGCATGTTCACAGGAGCATTACCTCAATGATTTGTCTCCAAAGTCAACATTTAGAGCGGCTACCAATCTTCTCGACTCTAAGTTTGAAGTGTGAATGACTTGCAGCGTTATTTCTGTGAAATCGTCCCTGTATGACTTATTCAGGTCATGTGGCTGCGGTCCAGGGCCACGCTTCACTCCACATCAGGCAGCGCAGGACGGAGGAGCCGTGCTGTGCTCAAATCAACAAACTGAAGATTGGAATAAAGTGAGAAGTGTTGAGCATTTACAGAGCACTGTTTGAAGGGACAAATCATACCACGCTGTGCTGATGTGTGTGAAGTAATCTGCAGAAATCTCGAGATAATCACATTTTTTTTGATACCCACTGAGTCTGCTCTCTGTAGCTCGGTTGCGTTTAAACGCTGACAATTCTGATCTAAGGTAGATACAAGTGTGAGCTGGCGCCCCTTGGTGTTTGGACCCCGATTCTTCCACGTGCAGCACCACGTAGCAGAGCGCTGGATGAGTGGTGAATCAATGCTATAATGTATCTTTAGCATCTCATTTCATGAATCAGACTTTCTCTTTTCAGACCCTGAACCTTTAAATAATGGCAGGCCTCATTGAGTCTGGCCCTGGGGTTAGAAATCTGAACCTTCAGTTGCTGCTCCATGCTATGTTTTAATCCATCATGCAGCCTGAGGGTGAGTGTGAGTGTGTGCATGTGTGTGTAGGTGTGTGTGTGTGTGTGTGTGTGTGTGTGTGTGTGTTGTATAGTGGAAACTAAGGAGAAGTAGAGAAAGAGGTTGACCTGATGCATTCCTCATCCCTCATACTGTTTCATTATGTGCATGGAGTGGGTCTCCAGGTGCAGCACACACACACACACACACACACACACACACACACACACACACACACTCTTTGGCTTGAGACCGAGCATACATGCTGCCAAGAACTCAGGTGGTGTTTGCCCTGGAGCACTCCCTGATCAACCCCCCACCTACATGTGCAATTTGCTTTGGCATTTGTAGGTGTTTATGATAGAGCCCGTCCAATGCCTGCTGACCAATGACATTTCAAATTGATGTAAAATGAGGAATAGGTATGTGTGTCGAAGCCCCGCTACGCCCAATTGACCACCAATTGGAACAGCAAGTGTTGAGTCTGATGTGTGTGTGTGTGTGTGATCGTGTGAGGGAGCAGGTTAATTCACTGCCTGTCATGTTAAGCCAGTAAATCATGGACCCATTTATGAGGAAGCGAGGCATCTCACTCTCTCTCTCTCTCTCTCTGGCACACACACACACCTACACACATAAGAGTAGATTGCCCCTTTTGTGTGTGAGAGGGTGACAAGTGATTTTCCTGCATCCTCTTCATTATCCCTTGATGAGGCCAAATTGGCAGCGAGCCCTTTTTAAAAATGAACGCTGACACCGACTGCTTACAAAATGTGACTAAGCAAATGCAAACGCAGACCAAAAACTGTTTCAATCCCTGCAAGTCTTTCCATATCAATAATACATGAGAGTGTTTCCTTTTTACCGTTATTAAAGGTGATGTGTGTGTAAGAGCTGCAGGTGCACTGCCAGATCGTACTCTGAGGGTCCTGTTAGTAAAACATGCATGCAGTCTGGAGTGGGTTTCTCCAAAGACCTGATCATAACCGAGAGTCAAAAAAAACGCTGGAGAAAGTCTGGAGAGGAAACGATGAACTGTGACTTTTTTCCGCTCAACATGGCAGCATACAGTTTGAAGTGTGTAAATCAATGTGCTGTTGTCACCGCTGACATTTTGAGGGGATTACAGCTGTCTCATTTCTACATCTTTACATTTCCTGCTCCTATTTGAGTGGGCAAGCATTCACAGGAGGCCCGGCCCAGGACTCTAATGTCCCCCAGAGGGCTGGGCGAAAGGTCACATCCAATCAGCAACACCACGAGACAATATCAAGGAGCGTTCAGGGAGAGGAGATGGGATTGGATGGCAAGCAGTGTGGAGGATGACAGAATGAGACGTTGAATCTCATCAGCTCGCTTTCAAAAGATGAGTCACCACAGGGCAAGTTTGTTGCAAAACATCCAGGACAGCGGGTTCACACAAAAATGAAAAAAATGTCCCAAACCACAAGAAAAATTGAACATTGAGATTGTTGAGTCCCACCAATGATGAAAAGCAATGACCACATGGCGGTGGAATGATCTCGCTCAGATGACAGGAGGGAGGAGCAGGACGTTGGCGGTTGAAAATGACAGCGGGGGTAGGCCATGCTGGTTTTCATTTACCTGCATCACCACCTGCTGCCATGGGATTGGTTGGCTGGTTGGGGGGTTGGGAGGCAGGTTGGCGCGCTCCAGCTGCAGGTTGACATTGCGACGCTCCTCCTCGAGGGCTCGGGTCAGCTGCTCAAAGCGCGCCTCCTGCTCCTTCACCGAGGCAAGGATGCTGGCGGCCGAGCGAACGTCATAGTCCTCCATTTCCAGTGTTGGTGGCAGTTGTTTGAATCTTCCAAGTCAGGGAGGAAAGGAAGAGAAGAGGAGGGAGGAGGAGGAGGCACCAGGTCATTAAAGACACCCTGATCCAGCAGGCGGGTTGAGAGGAATCAACACCGACTCATGCCTCAGTTCCAACTCAAATACTGGATTTCATGTATTCAATCAATAAGACAGGAGAATATTTTCTTACTGATTAAAACCAACAGTTCTACTCAAAACTGCAACTTCCTCATCAATTTATTCCAATTATCTGGTTTTGGAGCTTTTTAAAATAATAAAAAAATACCATCTGACACAGAAACAAACTATCACAATGTTGTTATTTCTTTCAGCACAAATGTGACCTACAACATTTCCCCTTGTTAGATCTCTGAGTCGATATTTCAGTCTTAAGTGTTTACATGGATCATGAATCTCCTAAATAGGGTGGATCGTACTCGTCTCTTCTGCTTTGGTAGTGTACATGCAGCATTTATATTCTGATCAGGGTATTATTCTGATTATTTGTGGTCCATGTAAACATTAAGTAAATGTCTTTGTCCATTGCCAACATGTGGGTTTAGCAGTTCTTTGACAATGGAATGGAGGAAACATGTTGAAAACCTCAAGAAAAAATGAAGATCACAACCTTTGGATGTCTATTTTCTGTTTTTGGATTACTCAGAACTCCTCAATGTATCTACTAAACAAAGTTTTGTTTCGGTACTTTTGCAAGGATTTGAAAATGACTGGGGGTTCTCGGGGCCTGTGTGATGTAGACTTTGATCTGGAGATCTACATGACTCATCAAAATGGAACAATTAGCAGATCGACTGTAGGACTGGGAGGTAGGGGGTCACAGTACAGGGAGTCTTCTTGTTACAGTCAAATCTGTTTAAGATCTCTCGAGCCAATACCCTGAAGGGACAAGCTCAGATTCTCCCCACAAAGAGTGACTACATGGACGAGTCTGTGTGATACTTTAAGCCAAGAAACTCATGAGGATGCTCTGCTGGGTGCCAATTATCTTTCTGCTTTCAGAAGTTTGAGCCTTTCTTGTAATTAAGTCAATCCTGGCAGCTCATGTAACACTCAATACAGTTTAACTGGAACATCAAGGCAGCAAACTGGAAACATGATCCACCAATTCAAAGTGGAACAAAGGGAATGAAACAGCAGAGCGCACAATCACAAAAAGAAAGTTTCAGGACACCCAAAAGGTTGAAAGGAGTGAGCACAGCCCTACAAATAGCTGTCGTGGAGGAATGAGGCTGTCATTGGATATGGTCATGCAAAGAGCCATAATGCATTCTGACACACAAGCACTGATGAAGGCATGAATCCAACACATGCAAGCTTACCACAGCCAGCCATACAGACACCCGGGCCACACACATATACTGCCTATCATAAGCAATCAGGATTTCAGTCGCCAGCCACAGAGCGCTTCACTGTCACACACGGCATGAAATCCATAACTGATGGTGGCCAGATATCAAGGGGGTTGACAGGCACAATAACAAATGGGGATGGAAATACCAATCCACAGCTATACAGACCTAGTAGATAAGCAGGCTGAGAGGTGTTAGAAAACAGACATCCCCCACTCTAACAGGAGCAGAAGGATGAGACAGCGAGGAAGAGCGGCGAGCTGGGAGAGAAGGGAGAGAAAAACAAAGGCAAGACTTGAGAAAAAGTAGAGTTTAAAACTGAAATATAAGCAACAAACACAATCAGGCTCTTCTAGTCAGCTTGCATAGACGTCAAAGTAAAACCAAATGTAATAAAACAGAGGTGTTAGGAAATAAAGCAAATAGCACAGTATCATCTGCATACAGTTCACACAAACATCCAAAGAATGATCACATTATGTTCATCGTATATTCCTGAAATAAATGTTCAAAATTCAGGGCTGAGTTTTTAACCCGACCAGTGGGCTGCCAGTACAGGGCCCCTGCCACAGAAACCCCCAAAAACATTGTGTTTCAGCTGAGAAGTGATGATTTGATGAACTGAATGTTTCGTAAAGAATATCCATTAAAATGTAATTTTCATCAGAAATGCCATCAATAAACATTGTAATTATCTTTGACTTTTTACAGTTTTACTCTTCTGTCTGTGTAAAGGTCACACATTTCCCTCCTCTTCAACCAGTGTAAATAAGTCTCAGAGCTCCTCAAAACATGTGTGTGAAGTGTCTTGTTCTAAATCCACTCTGATCCTGTATTTGATCATGTCTATAAACCCCTCTGTTTCAGCCCTGCTCAGAACAGGCTGTTTCTGTGTCTGTACCTTTAACCCAACCCAAGCCTGGAAGGGCTTGGGTTGGCTCTGGCTTTCTCGCTCCATGTCCTATTGTTTACAGTGAGAAGGCAGACTCAGAGGGCAGAACAAACACCTAGCTGTGGGAGTGTCACCCACCTGAGGGAGGGGCTACTGCCCTTTGTGATGTCATGAAGGGAAAATCTCCAAATGGCAAATACATTTCCATGTTTGGTTAAGTGACTTACACACTATATCTAGGTAAAGATTATGGCTACATGTAAAAGCTATAATATATATTTATATAAGGTAAGGTAACTGATATATGTTAGGACTGTTAAACAATAACATTTTTTAATCGTAATTAAACTTTTATTTTCAATAGTTAATTCCGATTAATTCCCATTTTGAAATTCTATTTTATTTCACATTCAAATATAAAAGTTGTTAGGCTTTTATTTTGAATTATTTTCATGTATTAATTGGAGAGTACTTTGCTTGCTGTGTGCTTTTATTTTGAAATACAGTAAGGACCTTTTGGTAGATGGAAGGTTAGGACATGAATTTCAACACAGAAACAGGAAGTGGTTAGGGATCCATACTGACGTCAAACAGCTCAAAGGAACGGTAACAAAGGTCAATGTGTGATGTCATAAGGTCAATGTGTGATGTCATAAGGTGGATGTTACTTTGGACTCGTCAGCTGAGCTGTCTGAGAGTTTGTTAAAGTGAAATGAGACATTCAAAGATGCAGCAGTGACCTTCTTTAACATCACTGAGACTACAGAGAGACACTGAGGAGAATATCTACGGTGAGCCTAAAAGGACAAAATTGCATGAAATTAATCGTGATTTTAAAAAATGCAATAATTTCAGACCATAATTTAATTTAAATTAAACATGATGGGGTGGCAAATCCATACAACTCAAAAAGTGGTTACTACACATTGATCCTCCACCTACATCTCAACTGTTCACAATCACTGTATGAATTGAGGATCCCACCTCGTCAGGGTCGAGTCTGTTGACATTTTTCTTTTACATTCAGAAGTTTTTGTATCACATTATGTAATGTGTTCACTCAGTAACCAATGACTGCCTCAACATGACTTCTTTCTGCTGATTGATAAGCTTACAGTTAGTCCTTCAGATTCTGTGAATGAACACATGTCCCTAGCAACCATCTGCTTTGCTTAGTAACGGTGATCTATCCGGGGATGGCACTTTGGGCTGCATGTTTTTATGAATGAAAGGTGGTACATCAATAAAGCTGCTTTGAGTAGAGTTGAGTATTGGACATGATGTTCTGACCTTGGATTGTTCATTCAGCGAGGGAGAGACATGTTTGTCAAGCATTCAGCATGGCAACACAACATCCTGACGCTCTGTCCAGCGGACAACACAGCATGTCTTTGGTAACTAAGGCATCATCGTAAGCCCAAAGTCAACCTGTGTTGAGATGAACCCTTGTGTGCAACATGTCATAGATATTGTGTTTATACATCTGGATTATATAAAGAAATGAAAGGTCAATAATTGTTGGAGCACCACGGGGTCGCACAAGAAGGTACATTTGTTGGTACATGACACTAATATAAGACCCACATTACAGTGTTGCATTTTGGGTATTTTGTAGCTTAAACAACCAAAGATTGAGGATGGCTGGTTTGGCTCAGCGGGGGGATGATCAATGCGGATGCAACCATTAGAATCTCAAACAGGTCGGATTACAGGAACAGAGCGTGTGTGTCTGTGTGACAAAGTGTGTCTGTGTGTGTGTGTGTGTGTGTGTGTGTGTGTGTGTGTGTGTGTGTGTGTGTGTGTGTGTGTGTGTGTGTGTGTGTGTGTGTGTGTGTGTGTGTGTGTGTGTGTGTGTGTGTGTGTGTGTGTGCGTGTGTGTGTGCGTGTGTGTGTGTGTCTATGTGTGCCCACAGGTTTCATTCTTCACTATAGGAGCTGCTGAGTGTTTTGCCCTTATTCCCTTTGAAGCACACAATCCCTCTTTGATGTTTGTTGCAGGCTGATCATTTATTTATCGGGAGTGGAGTCTCGTCTGACACGACTGTTCCTTTATTCTTCCTCACAGAGTGAAACACGAAGAGGAGCCTGTTCGGAAAGTTAAACTCCACTTCTGAGTGAATCAAAGAAAAATCTTCCCTTTTTATCTTTACCTATATGTGAGGAACAAAATCTCTCATTACTAAGCCCATTTTTTTATCATTGTCAAATCAGCACCTGGTCGCACCATCTCTATGTTCATTCAAACGTAGCCTAGTTTGTATTCTATAATTTAGGAGTGAAACTTATTATATTTATTTTGTATTTTTTTAAAGATTTGGGCTCTTTTTTCTGCATTTACTTAGAGACAGAACTGTGGAAATCGGGGAGAGAGGGAGTGGGGAGTGACATGCGGTAAAGGAGCCACAGGTCAGAATCGAACCTGGGCCAACCGCTTGAAGGACTACAGCCTCTGTACATGGGCCGCACTCACTAACCACTAGGCCACTGGCGCCCTGAGGAGTTTACACTCTACTTCATAACATTTAAGGTGTTGCACCAGCTGAGATAGTGTCAACACAGGCGTAAGAAGCAACTTAAATCTTACACCTGGCTCCTAGTAGGGGTAGAGTCCTATATGAAATATGGTTGTCATGGCGATTGGTTTTGAGAGGTGGGATAACATGGAGGGAGGATGAAACAAGTTTTTCTTAAAACGAGGTTGATATCAATCAAACTTGTGTCTCCTACAGGAGCATAAACCATCGTTTCACACTCGGGGAGCTCGTGGTCAGTCTACCTGTGACCGTTATGACATCATGGCTAATAATCAAATCTGCTATGGAGAAAATGAACGGGATTCTTACTTCCAGAACCAAACTGTTGAGCCCTATAACGTTATACACTCTACCAGTTAAGATGAACCTTACGTCTCCATGGTTACCATCAATGACTCAACTTGAGTTACAAACGTATTAGTTTCAATGTATTGTTCAGTGAGGACTTTACACCAGAACTTAAGACAGAACTGAACAGAGCTGGGCCAACAGGCCACAGGAGTCAAGCATTTAGAAACGTCATCCTCACTGGAAATATTTCTCACAATCCTCAACTGGAAATTTAGTTCCAAAATGAAAGAGCTCTGGGTAATGACTACTTACAGAAATAGCATCGTTGTCTATTTCCAAAGCTTTCCACTACTTAAGATAACCAACAGCAGAACAGGCCCAGGAGCCTCCTGATTGGACACACTTGATGATGGACTTTAATGATTCATGTCTCTGGAGGGTAGCAGGCCATCAGAGCCATTGCTTCCTGAGTCATAAAGGGAATAATATGTCAGGCATGTCAGCTACACCCTACAGCTTATCATTTAACACCAACTTCTGGGCCTTCTTAAAATAGCACAGGGAGGGGCATCTGAAGAATTCCCCCCTCTCTGTCCCCACGACAGGCCTGGTTTTTTAAGGCTTTTGGTTCAGCAGATGTTTGCTAATGGTCTGAGTCACATGGGATAAAAAAACACAGCCAAGGACTTTTAACCCCATCTCAAAATATGCAAGTAAGTCCAAAGATATCAAAGTATAAACTCCAAGGGCGGGCGGAAAAAAGTGTAAAAATGTTTGATGAGTTCCACATAGGGAAGGAGCGTGTTAGGTTTGACTTCTCTAAGATGTAAACATCTTTAATTAAAAGGAAAAACACACTCTTATATTCCATGTGTGCAGTCAATGCTGCTTCACTTGTTCCAAGGCTTCTACTCAAGTATAAATGCACTTCAGCACAAAATCTCCGCTCTAAAAATAGCACAGTAATAAATACACACACACAGAGAAACACGTGGCTGCAATTTTGAGTGTGGATCGGCAGACGAGATGCAGCTATGCTCACTTCAAAGGCTTGCTGGGAAAATGCGGTAATAAATCCTTGGCACCTTATTTATCAGTTCCTCCCCCTGAAACAAATCTTCCCTCTGCCATCACATCGCTCTATGTAGTAAACTGGCAGGTGTTTAAGTGATTTTATTCTCAAGAACAGCTTTAAATGAGCAAGCGGTTTGAGTTCTTGTTCAATTACTAAATGTCTGACACTACTGTAAGGATCACACGTTTCTTATTTGTATAAACAGAGGCCTTGGTGATTCCCTTATGGAGTGAGTTTATATGGACTTGAGTATCCCGGTTTTTATCAGGGTTTTTTTAAGTATTCGTGTTTCTGCATCATATCCTGATTTCAGAAACATGATAAGCCCTCATCCGGATTTTGAAGAACCACGATTGTCCTACCTGGAGAACTCTGAAAGAAAGCAGGATACTATGGCATGTTTACGCCTTACCCCGGTTTCTGACTTCTGGTGACTACCTGGAGCATGCCCGGCTTCAGGCAAGTGATGTATCAGCAAAACAAACATGGCAAACACAAATTCCGCTGCCAGGGGGCTCTCAATCAATGCTACAATAACAAAAGACGACGTCGAGGCTAGCGGGGAATCTTGGGAGTGATTCACCCCCCCCACCCCATTGGTGAAACTGAACTCCCCGTTGACGAGCTAGTGTCTCCAAGTATCATTCACATGAGGTTATCACAGCAGCGCATACAGCAAAAGTACGGCAGCTCATACTTCCTTCTGTTGTGGTCTTTGACGTAACATCTGGTGTTTCCACGGCAACGATAAACATTCCGTCTGTAATGGTGGCTCTGTAACGGCTGCCAATGCGACAAGACAAAGTAAGTCCCATTACAACTCTAAAATTACGGATTTCTCTGGCTTTGATAACTGTTGGAAATATTTGAGGTAATGTAAGAACTCAATAAAAAATATTTATATATAACATTTTTCATTAATTTTGACATTTTAATGCAAACATTGTCACCAAATTCTACATATTGTACGTTAGATCAAAACCAGGATACTCAAGTCCATACTTATTGTTGAAATTTCTTCTTTGTGTATTTAGAAACTTACAACCTTGAGCACACTGACCAAAGGAAGCCTTAAGTACCAACATTTGAGCTTTTTTTCATTTTTATCTTCTCCTTCCTTGAGTGAAAGATTCACAAACTGGGTCAGTTGGTGTGAGCCTGCCGTGTTCAGTCAACTGACATCATACACTAGATTTACAGCTGTTATCTCTCACTGCCACTCGATACCACCAATGTGGAAAGATGCCAAGAGCGGCTTTAACCACAAGGCAACCCTATAACTGTAACGATATGGAGCTGGCACCAAACCGTTCATGCCTTGCAGTGTTTGTGAGAGTCGGACGAGGTGACACTCTGTGATGAAAGACATATCCGGAAACGATTTTAAAGCATCAGTGTTATAGTTTTGATACGAGATAATTGGCTTTGAGTATGCAGTGTGGGACTAGAAATTCATCCAACCAGTTGGGAGCAGCTGATTGGTCCCTGATCAGCCCTTATGCCCTCCTGCACGCTGCACAGTAAACAACATGGACTTCAAAATCATCTGCACAATCATCTGGCCTTGCTATTTGCAAGAAAGTAAATTGTTTCAAAAACTATTTTTTAAGCTTTTTTACATGACAGGATTAAAACAAACAAAAGGGGCCCACGTCTAACACAGAGGTGACCCTGAGGAGAACCACCATGTGCCATGTGTCTTCAGGGGTTTGAGCCAGGGGTCATTAGAGGGTGCAGAGAACAGATTGGGAGGGTAAAGGATGAGGATAATTGAGCGTGACCACCAGTGCCCTGATATTGAGTTAGAAACATTCACCTGATTAGGGACTTGGTGGGTGGTGGGGTCTCCCCCCCCCCAATTTCCCCCCTTTCCAGAGGCTGTAATTGCCGCTTAAATTAATTCCTTGTCTAAACACATCTGATGCCCATCTGAGAATGCATCTGTCAGTGGCACAATTGAGTACGGTACTTAAAAACACCTGCTCCTCCTCTTCCTCCTGCTGTGTGCATGTGATCTACCGTACTTGTATTTACCGGGATGAAAATGTATTCATAAAGTCGGAGAGTAAACTAGTGAAATTAGAGGGTATCGCTCTGCCGTCGACTGTCATTTCAGAGCCACTAATTTCAGGCTCTTCGGGGGATTTTTCGTCTTGGCTGAGCTGTCCAATATGTCAAAGCTCTTACCGAGAGTGACTGGCACTTAAGTGATTCATCACAATGACAATCTGCTGCGTTGGGAATTTACGCTCACCAAGGGGATGATTTTTATGAGTTTGATGACTGTTAAAAAAAACACTACTCATGAACATGAAAGTCAGTTTAAATGACTCGACTTATCAAGAGAAAAAGATTTTACCCATCCCTTGATGTCATACATGATGGGAGCACATTATGAGAAGTGTTTTTAAATTTTTTTTTTTTTGTATGAATGAATGCAGCAAAGCAAATCCTCAATTAAAGGCAGAGTTGGTTATTTTCAAAAACTAGCATGATGTTGAAAGTAGCATTCCCTCAGTGCTCCGTCTACACCCACCCCCTCCCCTCTGTGCTTCCTCAAAAGCCACGCCCCCTCACTTACTTTGCTCCAGAAGTGGACCTCAGCTCATCTCTTACATTGTGTAGAAACTACGTCGTCTCATGTCTCATTCAGCAGTAAGTAAACTCACAGTATAAACTCCTAAAGTCATCAGTGACGCTCTTTGAGTGTGAGCTAGAGCACACAAGAGGTAGAGAACGAGCAGGGAGACAGGGAGGCGTCTGATTGGTTCATCAGATTGGTACCTTGTGCAGACATTGATTGAAGTTTTTACAGGCTTACAACTGACACAGATGACAGATTTTCTTTGTTCCTGTTTCAGAGCACGAGTTATTAATGTCTGTTAGGACCTAAAGACAATTTCAACCAAAATGAATGGTCGGTCCTAATTGGCCAGATGAGGTGCTAAACTTAAGGTCAAAGTAAGGCTGCCATTTTAATGTAATTCAATCTAAAAAATTGAATTATTTTTGATTTGAAGCAATCCGTCGATCTTTATGGATGTAATGTCTTTGGATTAAATATTTTGCTGGATTTGGAATGAGGGGACCCATTCAGATGCAACAAGCCATTTTTGTTAGAGTATTATGATTGGGAGAGTTCATTAAATCTCCAAATGGTAAGACAGTAAAAAACAGTTAAAGTAGTTGTTTTTCCATGGTCTGACAGATGCATAGATTGTGGCTGCTGTGGTGTTTGGATCTTAAAATGATTTACATAGTCGGAAATAATAATCATAGCTTTGTTATGATGTATGGCATGAGTGATACAACAGGACAAATTCTTGAAGAAGGCAATCATGTATAAATGGGGTCCTTGAAGATGATTATCCTACATATAATAATCTAAGACGGTAATTGATTAACATTTTGATAAGATTAAACGGAGTACAGGAAAATGAATGCGCTGTCAACAGTAATGAACCACCCTTGATTTTAAGATTCCAGTCCTTGTGATTTTGAGGAACACAACAGTGATTATAAATGGCCCAGAGGGGTGTCGTTGATTGATGGCAGGATAAGCTAAGTTTAGCGAGGTTTGCGGAGTCCACAGCCGATCACTTTCACTGCTAGGAGAAAATATATGCGGCTGTTGTTTACCATCCATATTTTATTTCATCCTCTCTTTGAACCGCCTCCCTATGTGGAGGAAGGCATGCCTGAAAACGCTGACAAACACACTCACACGCAAACCCAACCACGTCCGTAAACAATTTAATTTGAATTAATAATGTTTGACTTAACAAGTGTCTTTGTTAGCCTTTGTTTGAAGAGATGAAACAGTTCATTAAAACTTTTAGGTAATGATTCATGACACCTATTACCTGGGGTGTTCCACAAGGCTCATATGACTGCATGTCTCTGTAAATCTCAGTTACTAACCACATCTTTTAATGGGAGCTCTCTCAAGTTCCTCGGGATCCCCTGTTTGTCCCTATCCTTCTTCCTGCATCTTATCCCATCTCCCCCTATCCCATTTTCAAACCCGGCGCAGTTTCTGTAGGTGGCTGTTCATCATGACTCTGGATTTGCCCAAGAATTCTGCATCTTAAAAGAAAGCTCTTTCTTGCCACTGTAACTTTTTCTAAAAGTGCTCATGATGCAGGGTCTTTGTAATATAGCAATGATTAAGGTGTTTTACCTACTTTTTGTAAAGTGTCTCCAGATAACACTTGTTGTTAATTGGCGATATACAAATAAAGATTGATGACAGACAAAAGACTGTAGAATTATGTAAATGGGAAAACTTCAACCATCTACTTTAAAGACCTTCACATTATAACATTGCATAACATACTGAGGATTCAGCCCAATTCTTTAAGAGTGACTGTACAATAAGCTTAAGTTCTTATAATATAAGCAGCCAATAGTGAGAAGGTGAATGTTCAGAGTCGATAAGCTACCAGGTAATACTTCTTAATTGTGAGGCCAGTCTGAATGATCCAAGAGACTGTGACTGACTGTGACTGACTGTGAACATGCTAAAAGCATTGCACAAAGCTTTCGTAGAGCAGTCAGTATATCAATTAGCTCTTACATACCCTGTGTTGTACTTCTTAAATTATATTTGAAAAAAGTGTCTCTAAGTTGGAAAGCAAAAGAATTCAAATAGGGTAAATCCTTTGGAGCACATAAGACATCCAAATTGTAATTATGTGTCTCAGGTTGTATCGCAACAAGTGACAGACTTCAAAAACTCCATTACACGGTTGAGTCTTTCGTTAGAAAATGGACTGATAGAAATGTCCCTTCCTGTTCGGCTCTAAAAATACTCTTAATGCTGTGAAGAGCCCTAAAACGGCCTTTCAAGTGACGTTTACCTGAGCTAATTCAACTGTGTAAATTATTGAAATCAAAGCATATTTCCTCGAGGGATAAATCTTCTAAATGTATTGAAATATAAATCATACAAAGCACTTCAGCCACAATGGGAAGTTGAGTGAAGTGAAGTGAGGCTCCCTTGAGGAGAGATAACAGAGAAAGTCAAGTCTTGCATTTGCTAACCAAAAAAAAAGGGAAAAAAAATGTCAGGAAATGTAATTACTGCAATGATGAGCTGAACAAAGTGATTAAAAGGAGGCTGGAGGTGTAGAAAGAGGGAGGCAGGAGTACCTTTGATGTTGGTGAGTGCCGTCAGACTGCAAGTAGACTGAGGACAGGCGTAGATCTGTTAGAGTCGACTCGTTTGCTCAGTCCGCCTAGGGAGACCTGTGGATGAAAAAAAAACAGGGAAATGGAAAATAAGTATCTAACCAACCTGCTGACAGTGTATCGCTAATACAAGCTTCTTTTATGCAGAAGAACGATTACAGTTGGTTTAAAACTATGATGTGATTGGGCTCTACTCTCATCTACAGCACACCAAAGCTGTTCATCCTCTGCTGCACATCGCCTGGGGTGTTCCACAAGGCTCAATTTCAGGACAGCTACTGTTTTCTCTTCAGGTGCCTTCATATGAAGACATTTTCAAAATATGTGGTTTCTCACTGCTGCTGGGATTCGAGTTATTAATTTAAGCATCATATCCATGTTTTCTGAATTTCATTGGCTACAAGAAGTGTCAGTCATCGGCAGGAGAGAAGATAGTTTAAAATTTTTGCCAGTACTACTAACACAACCTTCATCGCCTGACATAAGTACCTATATGGAGTAGAAGGAAATAGAGAAAATTGACACTCTGTATAGAAACAATTTGTTTTAATGGTTAAGATGCAACCTTTAACAGGCAAATGTGAAAATTGACAAAACTTTCTAATCCTGTTAACTTGTTTTCTTTCGTTCAAAGCTGCTTCATTTAACATCTGAACATTTTTCTTCTGTCATTGATTTTTTTTAGGAGACTGGACACTAAAACACAAGATTTTTATCATCCGTCCAGTTCCGCTGCAAATGACATGAATAAAGTCTGTGGTCAAGTGAGGAGAAATCGAACGTCCCTCAACTCAACCAGTTGAGTTGTTTTTATGGAGATGACACCCTGCTGTTTTGGTCAAAACACTTAGTGACACTCATAGTGGTCTGGATCAAAAGGCACTGCTCTGTTTTGTATGTCTTTGTAAGTTTTTACACGTTTTTTTCATACATCCTGATAGTGTGAGTTCTTGTTGTACCTAAATTTGAATTGCCCCCTGGGGAAAAATAAAGTTTTTTGAATTAAATTTAATTGCTGAATCTGTTTTGTGTGGAATTCATCAAGTGTGAACAAAGTACTGTAACGTCTTTACTCACGCCGAAAGCTCAACTGGTGTAGAGTGTGTGCAATAAGCTGATGATGCTGTTTTACAACGTCATTGTTAGGTCTGTCCTTACCTTTGGCTTTATCTCCTGGTTTGATAATCCCTCAATATTATGTCAAAATTTTTGAAATAATAATTTTGGTACACAATAAAGATTTATTGAATTCTATTCGAAAATTCTAATTCTTCAACAATTCAGGCAGTCAAACTCCTGAATCCTAATGATGGCCCTGATGACTGATGATGGTTTTAAATTTGGTTTTAACAATGGTTGCAATGATGAGCTTATATATTCACAGCGTCCGGTTGTCACGTGATGTACTTTGAATTAAATGTTTAATGTTGTTTTTAATATCTCATGGCTATGTGCCTGCATGTGTTTTCTAAATGTTCCTTATTTTAACCTGGCTGCAAAGCAAATTTCTACTCTGGGACAATAAGGTTAAAGTTCAAGCATTTTCCATTTAGCTGACCCCAAAATACCTTAAAAGTCTGTCAAAAATGTAAAACCATTGGTTGGAAACCTGGGAGACCCCGACAAGTAAGACATCAGCTTTGATGTTGAAGTCATTAACAATGTCCAGTTACACAAAAAAAACACATCCAGGGGCGACCTAGCCTGGTGATTGGTTTGCGCGCCCAACGTTCAGATTGTAGATTGATGTCCAATTACAAAAAAAAATGTGTCAGCATTTCTCCAGAAATTATTCTTGTTCAAGGAAACCAAAGATACAAGTAATACATGTATACTGATAAAGATTTTTAGTGCTGCTACAGTACCCAGAATGATTTCAGTTCAGGAAGTTCACATAAAGAACGTCTCCTTTAATCAATGCCTCACTAAATATGTGAGGCAGGAGGTTGTCTAATATCTGATTTTTAATAATGAGGCAACACTCCCTCGATACTTTCAACAAACCAATATGTCAGCCATGACCTTAGTATTCACTCGGCACTCCCTCAACAATAAAGACATCTCAGGCTCACAGAAAGCACAAGGCCAGTGTCCAATACTGCGGTGCAAATTGGTTTTGATGCTTCATGCCATGGGATGAATCACAACGCTGTACACTCCAACCTGCTCAGACGCTCTGCTGCCTTTGATGAGTGTGAAAACAAAAAAAAAAACACTGGATTGACTTCACCCTTGAACACGTCACCGATGATGAAATCAAAAGCGCCCTTACACAGGCGTCCTCGCAAACCAATTTGAATTTCAAGAAATGGGTTTAAAAGGATGTAATGTTCCTTAAAAGTTGCGTCATACAAGAAACACTTTGCTTTAGTCGAATATTTCTATTAAACAAAAAACCCACACAACTTAATTCCCAAAATGAGTTCATTATCAGTTCAGTTATGATTATTGGCTGTAATGCTCAAATGAAATTTAGATTCAGACTTAAGGCTGAAAAATTGAAGTCCTAGTTTTTATTCATAGATTTTTGTCAACATTTTTTACCAAGCGAAAAACCAAGACAACATCTCTGTCAAAACCTCAAGCGTCAGATATTGCCAGCTGACCTTTCATGACTTGAAACTGCATAAATTCAGAAATATGAACTCCCGCTTTAAGCTTTAATGTAAAGGCCGCTCTCCACATGATAAGTATCTCCAGATGCAGCTCTGACTGCAGGCCAAATATGCATGAGTGAGCAGTGAAGCCATTCAAGGTTTCATTAACTATGATCAGAAGACACCCACAGTGAGTTGGAAAGAAAAAAATCAATACAAAGTCAACTTTCCTCTCCTCCGGGTTTTTTTTTCACTGGCTCTGGGATTAGACTATCTCTGCTTCTCCAGGGATTCCTGGGTGTTTTCACTTCAAGGACAGATAGGCTCTGAGCACCTTGGATTTCTGGTACCAACATCAAAGGTGAAGCTTAAGCCCAGGCTGCATTAGTTATGGTCCCGTTTCCCTCTGTCTCTCTTTCTCTGGTTTTAGACGAGTCCTTACATCCCTCCTGAATGGAAATTACCTCGACACACAGCCACAGCTCAAAGTAGTCCTTTTATTCATGCACATTTTTATTCCATTTTACATGATGCAATGTTCTTGTAAGTGAGGTCTCCTATGGTTTGGCAGCTTTGAAAGTGGGAATGATTGTCAGGGATGAACATTTGAATGGATGATGATCCTCTCACCAACAGATGATGGCACTTAACCTCCCGGCTCATCCTGTAGAGCTGATCAGAGGTCAATACTGGCCAACTATGATTATTCTGAGTGGCAACTGAGATATCCTGTCACTAAAGAGTGTTAGTAAATGGCCAATCTTAACAATGACCCGTTGATGCAAACTGAAGGCAAAAGGGACTCAAATCTGATTTCTTTGCTCATATGGCTCTGATGGATCTCGAGTAGTTGCATGCTTTTATCAACTGTATCCAATTTGAAATACCTGACATATGTTCATGTTAAAGCCTTGATCCTTCACTGTGGACAACAGTTCAGTTTTATGAATTGACGTCCACAATGTTACAGATTGTGTTCAAGGCTAAACCAGGGCTAACCCCAAAAATCTACTGCAAACTGCTGCCTACTACTTTTGTGTCAATCTTCAAATTAATTTTTTATAAATATTTCTTGCGGTGGACATAGTCATGTAGTTTTGTTTGTGGAAACAAGTTGTGTTGACGTCCAATTACAAAAAATCTGTCAGCATTTTTCGGGACATTCCCAAGGAATCCCAGGTGAGTAGTAACCCCAAATCCCCACATACTCAATGGGCGGCGTGATCCATTAGCGCCACGGTTTTGCTCCATTGGACAGAGCTCGCCCTGCCCCACTAGATCTGTTTCTGCAACTTGAGCACAGCCATGAGCAGCTTTACAAACATCACAGGAGAACTAAAATATTGCGCTGGAATAAAGAGAAAAACATGCAAACATGCTGCTTCCTATTGCTGAGGATGATTTGTTGTTCATTCGGTGCCTGTTTTGATGTTATGTTGATAAAGTGATGAAAAATAAGATTGATTAGTCCATATATTGTTTTATTTTGAAATTGACCGAACCCTCTGTGCGTATCCTTCTCTGACTTCCTGTCCGGTTTGTTCAATTCTGTCCTGCTTGACGCGTGCCTGCAGCGTACTAAAATAGACTCGCAACTAGTTGAACTAGAGTACAGCGTAGTGCCGCTGTTGGCACACTCCGGAGACAGACCACGGCGCCCGCATGGAGTATGTGGAAATTGTGGGTAAGAAGTAAATGCAGATAAGAAGACATTCAAGAGACTTTCATGTTCAGCACAGCAGTAAATATATACAAAAACATCAGCATCCATTCCCTTAAGCAAAGATAATTTAATACCTTCAATACCCACAGTCAATTGAATACATTTACACAGTCAGACTCATCTCTCCACTATTGCTTCTGTCGACATGTTGACAGTCTTCACCACTGCCCCCCCTCCCCGCAGGAGCCCCCGTCGTCATTTGACAGTAATAACTTGCCGAACCCTCATACAATATTAGTGCTTCATTTCAGCACTTGATTCCTCACCTGCTGTGAATTATGCAGACAACTGCATATTCCATCACGACTTGTACCCCGTCAACCCTCCTCGTTCTGAGAGCGGCCCCCGTCTCATTCTGTGATTAATAATGACTGCAGAGCCAGGGCTAGCTGTCTGACTGACTGACTGACTGACTGAAGGGCTGACTGTCACAGATGAAGGTCTTTCCTTAGCTGTCAGTGATCCCGCACACTCACAGAGAAGAATGGCTCTGCCGCCACATGTACTCAGGTACAACCTGACTCAGTGTTCGGGCAACTATGCAAATGAAATGATAATGTCATAATTAAAATGTAAGAAGGAGCATTCATTATGAATGTCTGCTGTGCACGTGGCTTAATCTCCAACACGTCCTCCAACCAGAATGACATAACAGGTTGTTAGATTTAGATTTTCAAAGGGAGAGTAGCAGCGTTTTCTGATCCCCTGTCTCTATTGTCAGAATGTAACCTTTCATC